CTCCAAGGAGTGGACGTAGGTCAAGGTTTGACCGAACCACTATAAATCCGGTGTGTTCTTTCTTTTTACTGCTTCCGTGTTTTAATTTCCGCACTTTGTTTGTGGTGATTTTGGTTGGAGTTTTATCTTTGGTTTTAAAGTTTTCCAAATCACCTCTCTTTTAATTAGCTTTGGGACTAAGTTCAAGAGGGCCTAACATCCCTAACGAACTTTTAGAAGTCCGGTGGAACTACGCGGTAATTTGACAATGGTCGATGGACGGGCGATGATCAACGGAGGTTTGCTGGCGGTTTTGTCTGGTTGGTGCTCTAACTCCTTGAAACCATAGAGCCCTCTCCATCTCCAACTAAATTTCCAAGCTCTAAGAAAATTTGAAGTGGGGCTTTATTTATAGATTTTTTTAGGGTGGCATGTCCGTCAATCGTAGAGCGTTTGTCAAACATTTATTTGCCCGGATGATGTTAGAATCAAGTGATCTTGGGCTTGTTGGATTCTTCGAATTGAGCTGCTCGATTCGACTCTAAACCTTAGGCTCCTTTCACTAATGAAGGAGGGGTTTATTTATTATTTTTTTGATGTGGCATGGCTAGTAAATAAAGAGAAGATCAAGGGTAGGTTGGTAGTGTTCTGAATGGTCGGTTGATATCAACTTTGTTGATCGTGGACAATTTATCAAACATTTGATTGTCTTAATGATATCAGAATTAGGCGATCTTAGGCTCGTTGGATTTGTCTTGTCAAGCTGCTCAATTCAAATATAAGCCTATCACATTAGGAAATAGATAGATTATCAAATTTATGGTTTGAACTTTCTAAATGCGCTTCGTGTCTTCGATTTGAATCTATTGGGGCTCGATTTGGATTGAATTTGCTGTCGTTGGGTTCGCCTTTTCATGACGTTCAGTTCAACTATAAATTTACTAAAATTGGAGCTCTGATGATCTTAGATTTAATTTTGGAATTTTCCCACTTGATTTTGCCTCAAGATTTGTGCCCGATCATGATTAATTTTAGCTTATATATCAAGGATGATGGTAATTATAGAGATAAAGTTGCATCTAAAAGAAAGTGCTGGTTTGTCAAATTATATCTATTTAAAGTAAATTCAATGAACTTAATTATAAAATAGTTAAATTCAATCAACTTCATTTCAATACAAAGTTGTTATTCTCGCCATAAAAATAACTTAACGAAAATCATGTCATAATTTAAGTTGATCAATAGAAACCGTGGCCAAACAAAACATATGATGACTCAAAATACGAATTTATATTAATCGGTCCGCACAACCCAGCAATATTCTTTCCGAAACCCAACTCTAACTTTAATCTTTTGGGAAAGTGCACTTTTTTAAGCACTCTCATCTCTAGTTCTTTCCTGCTTCACATATGCATCATGAAACTTGCATCACATCCTTTTTGAATTCCACTATTTGGAAAAAAAATTAAACTTAACCATATCTATGATGGTGGTCCATATGTTAGCTGGCTGGCCACTTAATATTACTTTTAGATCTAAAACGGATAACATGAACAATCTCATTAGTGGGGCTTGTCTCATTTCTTAAACGTTGCATTCAAGTTCCACGTAGCCGGCTAAGAACAATGATTGCTTAAATCACTAAAGCTCACAACCTCTTCTTTCTCTTTCTCATCATTTTAATCAGGAACCTTTGGCCTCTTGAAATGACTGCTCAATAAAAATTCTTAGTCTGTCATTATGAGTATCTTTTCCCGCAATGAGTCCTTCATTATGAATATCTTTTCTCATGTTCCCCACTTCTTCTATATAACATGGGCCTACTTCAACGTGATGTTATTTTTATGCAATCTTCACACAGCTAGTCGGCCCGTATGATCCATAATAGTACTGGCAATACTACTCTAATGACAATTTACTGTTTCTAAGCTGAAATAATTTTTGTTTTATATATTTAATTTGATATTTTACAATTAGCGATCGATGAATGGTAACAAATTAGTCTGTTTTTTGTTATGTAGGTTACTCATCTTGGTTGTGGAGGGATGATTCTCTGTACAGCAATCAGCCACTGCCTCTGCGATGGGATCGGAACAGCACAATTCCTGCAAGCCTGGGCACATATCACTACAAAGCCTGATACCACACTTCCAATTTATCCCTTCCATGGCCGCCATATGCTTAAGCCAAGAAATCCAACACAAGTTACCTTTTCACATCCAGAATTCACGTACCCTGCATCACAAGAACATGTTTCTGTACTCCTCTCACAATTCCTGCAATGCCAACAACTTGTACCTGTCTCTGCAACATTCACTTTCTCCCAAATCCTCAAGATCAAGAAGCTATGCATTCCTTCCCTCAAATGTACTTCCTTTGAAGCTCTTGCGGCACACGTGTGGAGATCATGGGCCATGGCTCTCGATTTGCCACCGTCTCTTCAAGTGAAGCTTTTGTTTTCTGTCAATGCGCGCAACAAACTGAAGCCTGGGCTTCCTAGGGGATTCTATGGAAATGGGTTTGTGCTTGCCTGTGCTGAAAGCTTGGTTGATCAACTTGTGAGTTCAAATGGGCACTATAGTGTGAAGCTTGTTAAGGAGGCTAAGGAGAGCGTGAGTGATGAGAAGGTCAGGTCAGTGATTGATTTGTTGGAGGAGAGAAAGGGGAAGCCAGATCTGTCGGCAAGCCTCGTCATTTCTCAATGGTCGAAACTTGGGCTGGAGGATTTGGATTTTGGAGAGGGGAGGGCTCTTCACATGGGTCCACTTGCAAGTGAAATATACTGCATCTTCTTGCCTGTAGTTGGAGATTTCTATGGCTTCACCGTTTTGATGTCAGTCCCAGAGAAGACAGCTGCCAAATTTGAGCAAGTCCTAAAGGTCTATTAAACTACTAGTGCTGGGAAACAATTAAAACAAACTGGAAAAGGATTATGGATGTTTTATTAGTTAATAACGGTTGGACGAGAGCCAATGCAGCAGCAACATATGTTGGTGTTGTTTACACATTTTTTTAGCATTAAAGTCCTCTTTCGTTTTTTTTTGTAACCACTGAAAATATGGCTTGTGTGTTGGTACTCGACTCAGTGATTGTACCATCGAGCTTCCAGAAAATTAATATTTTCGCAAGAATTTAATGGATGAAATTTTATCGAATAAAATTTTATTTGGACAATTAAAATCGAAAATTTTCTATCAACATATTTATGATTAATTTTTATATGAAAATGCACTGAATTTATGTTTGAATGGGACTCAGTCAAACTAACAGGCGCATTGAATGAAAATTTATGTATGGATGAATCCGTCGCTACTAGCAGCAGGTGTACACCCATGAATATATGTGCAGGTACTCATTCACAAATATTTTACAAGTTACTTTTGGATCGAGTGAAAATTGGACATACTTTGCTCTCGAAAATGCTCGTGCGAGGGACTCGCTCAGGAGTTGGAATGAGCTTAATGCCAAGGCTTAGCTGATTGTAATCGATCATAACCTCAAGGTAATCGCCTCCCCTCCCTGGGGGAGGGCGATCTAAGTTGCTATTTTAGTTGAGTTTTAAAGTCTTCTTTCATTTTCTGTAACCATTGAAAATCTGGAGTGGGTGTTATTATTCAAGTCATTATTGATTGTGGCATCGTGCTTTCAGGCAATACATAGGAATTTAATCGATGAAATTTTATCTTTCGCTCGAATTTAATTGATGAAATTTCATGATTCATATTGACTACATAATTATTCTCACCTTCGGGAATGCAATTTTCTTTGGAAAATTAGAAGGGAAAATTTTCTATCAACATATTTCTGATTAATTTTATATGAAAAAATGTTTTGAATTTATTTGTGAATGAAACTCAATCATACTAATAAGCGTATTGAATTCAAATTTATCTAAGGATGAATCCGTCCCTACTAGTAGATGTACACCAATGAATAATTGTGCAGGTACTCATTTGCAATAATTTTAAAATTTATATTTGGATCAAGTGAAAAGATGACATACTCTGCTCTCAAAATTGCTCCCACGAAGAGTTGCTCAGGAGTTGGAAAGAGTTTAATGCTAAGGCTTAGTAGATCATGATCTATCATAACCTCAAGGCTATTACCACGCCTCCTTGGGGGAGGGTGATCTAAAAAGTTCCTCTTTCATTTGAAGAACTCTTAATCTGACTAAGCCAAATCCATGATTCTCATGCTCAATACATCCAAAAGCTATAAACATATATTGTCTCACTCAAAGACCCCCCTCTGAAATATAATAGAAGACCATAATCACATGTTACTTGCCCTTCTTCCTTAACAATGCAATCAGATCACTCTGTCACCTTCCATCCTCAACAGTTGGATAACACTCATCTACTTTATCTCGATGGCAAAACTATTGATCATCATTCTATTTCATCCAGCTCTCCTTCCCCAGTTGTTGACCGACTTGGCACCTATACCCTACCCATACATATTGATGGGACAACTACTAGCTAACAATTGACTTCGGCTTCCTTTCAAACACAATAATAGGTGGTAGGGGAAGGAAGGAGGTTACTGGGAGAGGCTCCTTCACATGTAAAAAAAAAAAGAAAGAAAGATTGGTAGAACTCTAAATATCTTCATGAGAAGAGCTCACGTATTAGAATGCATAGAGAGAGGGAAAGAGATATAGAGATAGATAGATAGATAGATAGATAGATAGAGATAGAGAGAGAGAGAGAGAGAGAGAGAGAGAGAGAGAGAGAGAGGAAGGATAAACAATAGTAATTCCAAACGAAATACATCCAAAGCATCACATTATTCCTCTTGTATAAATCAAGTACCACTGTCTGTTGCTCATATTTTCTCTTTTCTTGTACTTCTAACTTAGTTGATAAAGATTTTTATATAGAGTTTATGCATCTCTTGAACTCATCATCTCTTTAACTTCCTCATACTCGGAACATTGTTACATTCTTCCCAACTACTCTCAGCTCTAGCATAACATAAGGTACAGCCAGACAGCATCTGTCGAACAAAATAGGATTCAACATCCTCTCTGATATACTGAGCTTAGATTGATGTCGAAGATAACAAAATCATATGTGTCATTTACCCTGAAGCCCTCAAGAATACAATAAACAATAATTTTATGGCCCACCATGGACTACAACCTATGGAAGAGAGCCTGTTGAACTCCATTTAGGATGTTCTCATTGTCATTAATCTTCTGCCATGAATGGTTAGCATACGCAAAGATCATATAGTCCTGATGCTCGGTTTGAGCCCCTGGATGAAGCTTGTGCTTCAGATCAAGTGGCCAATCCAACTTGCCTTCAGGCAAGCGATGAGAACTCCAATTCAATAGTTAGACATACTAAAGAAATGGAGCCAAGGCTAGACAATATGTTCTCCAGACCAATCTTAAAAAAAGGTTTTCCCCTAAGTTCAAGGTACCCCAGTGGGGATTACTTGTCTACCCAGTGGGCTGATAATGTCCTTCTCTGAATTCATGCAATTGTCCTATAAATCACTAATTCATGAAACCTTCTAAAAGCTAAAATATCTTGCTAAAGATGAGGCAAGAACTAGGCAAGTTGCCGAGAAGCTTCCTATTACATTTCTTGAGAGAAATGCTTAATATTAAAGATCTTAAACCCGTTGTAAACTAGGAAACCCTGACCAATCAATTAAAAGAACACTTTCAACACTCATTAGGCCTGTAGTAGCCAAGAATGATGGCAGAACTATTAAAACTCGCCAAAAGACAAGTTAATATAGAAAAATACAAGTGGGGTTCTAAACCCTTTGAAATTGATCCATTATATAATCTTGTTATAAGATGAAACCCACCTATTTGGTGGACCTGTGATAGAATCCAACCATAGAAGAAGAGAAATCAAACACCAATAATCATATGAGATGAAATGCATCTTAATACCTACTGCACATTTTTGTGCCTAGCATTTTCAAGAGCTAGAACTCCACTCATAGTAATAGGTGAAGAAGTATACAGAGAGGTTATTAACTGGCCTCCATAATATCTGACCTACACTCCACTAAGGGTATCCATGTTCAAACTCATTGATGCCATCCAAAATAAGGATTTGTGCAGGCACTTGCTCTCTATGAAGATCGCCAGCACTTATATCATGTAACAATATTAGGAATTCCCTAAATATCATAAGAATGAAACCCAGTATTGCTGGCACTTACTGAACCTAATAAAATTACTCATCAAGAAAGGAAATCTCAAGGAATTAATGGTCATTAAACCAGAGCAGCAATAAGGGAGGGATATACTCGAATAAGCTACTAATGAGCCATGGCTAGCTAGGACTACTCACATTGCAGAGATAGTTCCCGCAATCATGAGAGGCAATTGCAGAAGTACCCCTAAACATCTTAATAAACTACAAATCACTGATTTTAACACTGCTTATTTCTTGTAATACATCGATGATACATTGGCCACATTCTATAGCAGACTAAGCCAACCAGGGGAAACTCCCTCAATGAAGCCATCATTGTCACTGCCCTAATCTTCATCTATTAGTTCTACAATATTTAGATAGATATAAGGAGTTCTGTGAACATGATATTTTAAGTAATCTTTCATAAGATGGGCTTGCTCACCTCACTAGTCACTCCTATAATGGGACCCATTTACAGTTTCTCAAGTGAACATAGGTAAATATAAGGCATAGTCTCCTTACTAGTCACTTGGGGTGAAGCTAATTGGCAGTACACCTCCATGGTCAACATAATAAAAATTGATGCTCCATCCACTTACAAGGCCATATTCAATAGGAAATTACTAAATGCCATTCAAGTTGTTATATACACATACTATATCGTCATTAAATTTCTAGCAGTAGGAAGGTAAATTATCATAAGAGGTTATAAAGATCAGTCACGAACTTGTTACATGCACGCTAAGATAAGTCAAAAATTCAAAGAATTCTTGCAACAAGATGCAAAATGAGGCTTAAGCTTCAAGAAAATTGAATTCATCGAAGAATTATATATGACAAAAGATCAACTAGGAAAATCCATCATGATAAGTACATATTTCAAAAAAGAAAAATAGGACAAGCTAATATAAGCTCACCCTTGTTGACATCATTTTTGTGTGAGGTCAAAACCCTAAATCAAAGTTTAAATCATGGTCTTTAGATCATTAAAATAAATTTCAAAATTGAAATCCAATTTCACATTATTCTTGGAAACAATCTTTAATGATTAGTACTTTAAATTAGTAATCTTACAATTACTAATGATTATTATTTGATCAATCACACAAGCACTAACAAAAATTCTATAATTTTCATTGATTCAAACATTTAAAAATTATAAATCTTCCCTAAATCGTTCATATAATCCTAAAATAAATCCTAAAAAAAATTCACATATAAAAATCTTTTCTATAAATACAAAGACTAAAGCCTTTGAACTTTGAACTTTTATAGGGAATTATCAAAACTGAGGGTAAAGTATTTGGAATGATATTAGATCATTTACACATTTATCCCTAATCATTTTAGAGGCCTCCATGTCCTTCTAAATCCTTAAACATAAAGCATATTTCATGTATTTAAAGCTTTCAAATATTTATAGTCTATGCCATTAGACATGACATTTTGATATAAATAATCATGGAAGCCTTTCCAAATACATTTAACATATTCTCAATCATCATTGCATTGATTTAAACTCATTTGAGTCCATGGTTTACTTAGGTTGATCTAGTTTCACCTATGAATTCTTTTTGAGTTTAAACAATTCATATGTATAAATCATATTGAATCACCAAATCCAAAAAAATGAATTTATATCTTAGGTATTTAATAATCATTCATGATCTTACGTAGATCATATTGAACCAAAGAACTAGTCAAGCTAAACCCTAAATCCTCTTTGTAAGCTTACCTAAACCTAAACATAGCATTTAAATGTTTCCAAACCTTAAACCATACATGACTATATCTAATTGCACAAATGGTTGACTATTGTTGACGAATGTTGACTAAGAAACCATTA